ATATAATTATTATATTAACCTAAGCTTTATTTACTACTCTTTAACTTTAATTACTTAGTTATAATCTATAACCTATTATTAATATAATACTTAATTGCTTAGATTAACTGCCTTAGTTATTTTACTAATATAAACTATAACTAGTTTATCCCTTAGGAACCTTAGCTATTACACTATACCGCCCCGTGGCTTATACAGCCAGCCTAACCTGCAGCCTGCTTCCTGTATACAACTAGGTCGTAATATATATAAATAAAAAGGAATTTTAAGTATATTAAAATAACTTAATTATTATTATAATAATATAAAGCTTATAAATATTATACTTTATAAAATAATAATATTTTTTTTATAAATAATATATATAAAATAATTAAGTAAAATAATAATAATTACCTTAATATTACTTATTAGCTTATTAAAATAATTAATAAAAAGCGCTATAATTATACTAAAAAAGTGTTTTTTAAAGCTATTAAAAAAGTATATAAATAATATCTTAATTTTATATTAAATTTATTAAAAATTTAAGATAAAAAAAATATATATTATAAGTAAAAAAATTAATAAAATTATTAGGTTAAAAATTAGCCCGCCTTAATGTCTAGCCTATCTTAGTATCCAGCACCACCTTTAGGTGGTGAGGGTAACCGGCCACCTAAAATATATGGGGCGGGCACGATTACTACAAATACAAATGCTCTGGGTGGAATATAATATTTTTAGTTCTCTGATTCTGAGAAAATATCCAACAAGCTCTGTTATCCGTCGCAGCATACGCAAAATAAGCCGGACCCCATTGAAAAACAATGACAGACCCCAAACTCCTCGCATCGCTTGCCGCCGTCCCCATCGAGGATCCCATCGACCCAGACACCCTCGAGACGGTGCTCTCCGGACCCCCGTTTGTCATTCTTCCTGGATCCTTGAACATCCGCGATGTAGGCGCCTACGCACCGGGATACATCAAACCGGGCCTTGTCTACCGCTCCGGCACACTAGACTTTATTCCGGAAGCCTACCGCAGCTTGCTCCGCAGCCAGCTCGGCGTCTCGACCGTCTTTGACTTTCGGCGCGGAGACGAAGTCAAGAGACGCCTCTGCGACATCGACGGGATACAAGTAATTTCGTGTCCGTTCCAGGACGGCCAAGTGGACAACGTCGATGTCGATTTAGCAGCGTTTGTACCCCCGGATGGAGAAGTCGTCAGCAAAGGGTACAGGGACATGTACAGCGTTATTTTGGAAGGGTACACGACGGGTTACAGGAAGGTGTTTGAGGCGTTGAAGAGCGCAGACAGGAACCACGCCGTTCTTTTCCACTGCATGGGTGAGTGCGCCCGGGTACGTTGGCAAGTGATTTGCAAGCTAACCGGCCGGCAGGGGGCAAAGATCGGACCGGTGTCATGAGCGCTCTCGTTTTGGACCTGATGCGTGCGCCTGTGCCCGTCATTGCTGAGGAGTATGCTCTTACGCGCGTCGGAACCGAGCCGTTTAGGGCAAAGATGCTCCCTGCTGCTATTTTGGGCTTTGCGGGGATTGCACTGGAGGACGGTGATGGGGGTTCCACGGTGCAGAATGGGTTGAAGGTTCCTGGGGTGCGGGAGATACTGGGCAGCCGTGCTGAGATCATGGCGGATTTTATGGAGGGACTGGAGACACGGTATGGTGGTGCCGAGGGGTATTTGAGGGAAAGGCTAGGGTTCAGCGAGGACGATGTGCGGCGGATTAGAGATAACTTGAGACCGTAGATTCGCGCAACAGGAGCACACTTGCTGGCATGTTGCGACGGCTGCGGTATATACATCACTATAGCTTAAAGTCGGTGTTTAACTTTTCCCATCCTGCTGACGACTCGTCCATCCCTGCCACCCGCTCTGCGAGCTTCGTCTTGAGATTGCGGTGCTTTTCAGTGCACAGCTCGTACATGGTGGACAGGTTAAACAGGAGGGTGTGCGAGGAGAAACCCGACTCGATCAGGCTTTCGAGGATATCGCGCCCCTGACGCAGTTAGCACAGAATTTTCGACGATGCGCGCTGGATGCATACGTGCCTCTTGCATCCGGCCGATGTATAACAGACAAACTGCCGTGTTGACGCCAACCATCTCGTCGTCCGGCATGCCTTCCCGCAGGTCCTTCCATCTCTTCAAGGCAGATTCATAATCGCCATCTGCCATTTCGCATAGGGCCAGGATGAGCTTCTCTGTCTCGGCTGCATTGTCGGAGCACTGTGCCGCGCAGTCTCGCGCCTTGTCCGCATCACCGATGTGCAGCCACAAAAGAGCCTTTGACAGCGCAATCTTGCCGTCGCCTTTATCTTTCAGACTCTTCAGATGGTGAGCGGCCCCGGAAAGATCATCCATGTCGATGAGCGCACCCGCAACCTTGACTCCCAGTTCATGAAGACGGGCTTTCCACAGCTCACTTGAGGAATTATCGTGCTTTGCTATAGCTGTGCCAATGTTCTCGCGCGCCTCTCTCGCCAAGTCGTGATAGCTCATGACGGCCCGTCGTGGGTCCCCGAATCCAAGAGCCTGCAGTCGCACGTTGAGCACCCGCAGCTCCCAGGGAACCAGGTGCTCGCCCGTCTTGTCATCGACGTAGGTCCGTACATTGCTTAAATCTTCCAGCGCTTTCACCTCTTGAGCTGCCAGCGGGGTGGCGTCAATAAGCGTCAGGCAAACAAGCCGGGTATACAGGAGAGTGAAGATGCGCTGTGAATCAGCCGGGTCTACAGCTCCGTGGGCCCCAGAGCCAGTTAGTTCCTGGACGGACGCGATGGCTGCGGCGCGAAAGTGTCCCCTTGCGAGAAGTTGCTCTAAGGGCGTTGCAGGATCAGGCTGCTTTGGGGAATTGCGGAATGCGACTGGGACGTTGAGCGGCGTGAGAGGATGGTAGATCTCGGGGCGAAGAAGGAATGAGAAGTCCTTGGGGCGGGATTCGCCTACTTGAGGGATTGGGGAGCTGGTTGGTTGACGGTTCTGGGACGTTGTACGTTGGGGGAGCTGGTCTTGAAGTCGTTCAGGCTGTGGCCTTGGTGGTGAGCTTAATGGAGAACTGCTTGGAGGGTTAGCTGGTGATGGTTGGAAGGCAGGGTGGGATGAGCTTGCTCGTCTGAATCGAGGGGCCCCTTGGTACTGGATCGCGGTCGCGAAGCTTTGGACTGTTAGTTTTGGTGTTTGATTGACGCTGGGTCGATACGCTGTGATGAGGGCGTGATGAAGAAGACATGATGGCTGCGTGCTCTTGGTGTTGAAGCGAATGACGCAAACTGGTGGTTGGAGGGTGCAGCTGGGACTCACAGCGCGAAACGGACGACTTGTTCTTGGTATGGCCCCTTTGGAGGCCCTGTTCAGGTTGGCTCATGATGATTTGGCCGAATATGCGCAAAGTCGGATGATGAGCTTTGAGTGTGAATTGCCGTCAAAGCCATGAGCGAGGTCTGGGTTCATGAGCGGATAATCGCCGGCAAAGTGGGGAACTCAGCGAATCACTTACACGGCGGCATTGGAGGTAAGAGTCACTTTCAATTGTGTACCTTTTTAAAAAATTCGAATTCTGACATATTCTAAGTATCTTTGTTCTCGTGATTGTTGTGGTGTATGTGTTGCCTGTGTATTTGGGATCTCTGGATCGTGAGCAACCGTACGACCGGCGGGTCAACTCCAAAGCCTTCAAGATCTTGTGCAGACGCTCATGGTTTCTCGGCATTTTTTGCACGAGTCTGAACTTGTTATGCATATAGATCAAAAAGTCCTTGTGCCTGAAATGACCGCGAGGGTACGTCACTTACGTAGCTGATAGAATACCATTTTGGTTGGCTGAGCAGGCCTGGCACCAAGTGCCAGCTGGCAGGCATCACTAGTGGTCGTTTATACATTTCAACTTTCCGCCACATCTCTTTTTTGAATCTTCACACTTTTCATATTTTCTAAAAATCTTCCATTTCCACAACTTCATCTCCGCTTCAATCACTACAAATCCAAATGGAGAATTCCGTTCTCGGCAGGAAACGTCAAAGGACGGACACAAGCCCCTTCGACGATATGGATACAGAGAGCCAGAAACCCAAACCCCAGTCACCGAAAAACGCTTCTGTAAGCGGCGAAAGCGTAGTTTGGGAGCCCTTTGGGGCACCTCTGAGGAATAAATTGCGCCTTGTTGTTGGGCCCGAACGGATATCGATTGTAGTAGAGTATTGGGCAATCGAGCACATATCTCCAGTCCTACGCAACATGATTCACAGGGTCCTGGATGACAGAGGACTTGCAGAGAATGATGAACAATACGTGGAGCTTCGCATTTCAGAAGAAAAGCCCGAGATCATCATGATATTCCTCGGGCTCGTGTATGCGACACGGCTTCCACAGTATGACAACATCACTCCATCACAGCTTCTGGACTTGGCATTACTCGCCGATAAGTGGGTGTGCACGGATCGTCTTTTTTATAGTGTAGAGTATTACTTCTCGCGCCTCGGATTGTTTTCTACGCCTGAAGGCCTCTGGCAAGCATACGCGGCCTCGTACATGCTGGCAAAGTCCAACTATTTCCAAGTCTATAGCAACCGGCTTGCCTCCTCGTACCGAGGGTCATTTTTACCCTTTGTGAAATTGATGCCTGACATTGCCCTGAGTGCAAGGCTTTGCCGTACGTTTCTTTCACCCTACAGGTACATGCTGATCTATGTTTAGCTGATGCAAACTAGTGGCCTTGGAAGAGAGACGATCCGCTAGGGGGGGTCTCAACGGTATCAGTGGTATTTTGTGCCTCGATTGTTTTCGCAAAGCAACGGATAGCTTTTTGCCAAACCGAGACTGCTCATCTTGTAGGGGTTGTCTGGCGACACTACCACCAGCATCTTTGACTCCGCAAGAGTTGCCCGCCGCCGCGAACATGCCATTTGCTGAGAAGACCGCCGACGGCTCACCTACAAACATAGAGGCGTCCAAATCCGCTGGATTCAAAGGCTTTTCGGGAAAGCTGCCCAAGATGGTGCCAGGTCAGACGGCGGAAGAAGATAAACGTGGACTGCGACTCGTTCCTGCTGCAAGTAGTAGCAGCACGCCTACTCGACCCCAAAACGAAAAGGCTGTTACCCAGCTCGGAGCCTAGAAGACAGAATCTGTCAACGGTCAACAGATAACATGAAGAAAATAGATTAGGACTCATCATTTCTGCCAGAGTGCTGCCGCATAAACGTCGGTTCGTTTTGTCAAGCTTTCTTCTGTTGGTTGGAATGTGGTAGTATTGCGCATATGAGACGGAAATGATGGATTCATGCAAGACGCCAAAAGTTAGATCCTTCAATTAGCTACCATTTCGCAGAATGAATGCTCATGCATCAAATCAAACTTGCTCCTTTGGGAATCGCGCGGCAAAATGACTCACCGGCAAGTCTGACAGCGCCACGCAGCGGAAGTGGCTTTCACTAACGCGCATTCAATCAAGCGCTTTGCTGACGCAGAACAGATGGTGTAAAGCTCCAGAATACGACCTACGAGCCAGCGTGAGTAAAGACGGTCAGTATTTATATATATATACAGGGCCATGGGAATACAAATTGGATTCTTTCACACTCCATCAAAGTGCTTGAGAGAGAGAGAGAGAAACATCGCCATCCCAACCTGTCGCCGAAAAATGCCCCTCACGCCGCAGCAAATCGTCACCCGCACCGAAGAGGACCCCAGTGGCATAGAGCGCATCGCCACGCGCAAGCTTGCCAACATACTTCAAATCGTGGAGCCGGATCCCACCTGGCCGCAGCAGTTTGAACGGCTCAAGGCGCGCATCGTGGCTGCCCTTGGCGACACTGCACTTGCGATTGCACACACCGGTTCCACCAGCGTCCCCGGGCTGCCTGCCAAGAACATCATCGACATTGATCTGACAGTGAGGGACATTGGCGATGAAGATTCGTACGTGCCGCAGCTCGAGTCCGCGGGCTTCGTATTCCTGCTCCGCGAGAGGCCGTGGCACGAGCATAGACTGTTCGGGATGGGATGGGACCCAACGCCGGTGAATCTGCACGTCTTTGGGCCGGATTGCCCGGAGGTCGAGAGGCATAGGATCTTTCGGGAGTGGTTGACGGAGAATGCGGGCGACAGGGAGAGGTATGCTGAGATCAAGAGGGTGTCGGCCAGGGAGTCGAGCGACAAGGGGGAGTCGATGATGGAGTATAACGCGAGGAAGGAGAAGGTGCTGCGGGAGATTTTGGACAATGCATTTAGGGCGCTAGGATATATAGAGTGATGATTTGCGTACGGGAGAATTGGCGGTTGGGTGGAATGGTGAGGGCAGAATGTTGCTTGAGATGCACGTTGTTGTGAGTGTGCCACGTATAGAATCAAGGCTGATGGCGAGGAAGTAAATTGTGATTGTTCATGTGCTATATTGCAGGGCAATGAAGTCTATTTGCAACAGTTGACCTCTTGCAGGGTGGTCTTCCCCTGTCGGCTGCCTGATCAACTGTCGTGGAGTAATCGGTGATGCCAGTGTAGCACAACAATGCGCATTACTCGGCATAATAACCACCGATAATCATACGGTAATAGGACAAGACTCCCGTCGCCTGCATCGGTTCCACGGGACTGTGCATTTTGATCAATGCATTTTGCCCTCGTGACGCAAAGTTGCCTCTGGTGCGTGGCTACCCTGGACATGGGACATGATGGGTAGAATCCGATTCGAAGCGTGCCACCGTACTTCGACTCCTGCCATGTAATTCAGAGTCGGTATCGCCATCATCCACCAGCAGTGCGCAGCAGCATCGTTGTGACAAGGCCGTTTTGCAACAATGAACTAACTCAACGTCACGGCAAGATGCTATTCCGGGCTCCGTATCCGGAGGCCACATCACACTGTCCCTCACACTGTCTTTCCCCCACGCACGATGCAAGCCACCAAGTCATTTCCCTTTGCCCAAGTTATGTCCGGCCCAACCAACGGAGCGACTGCGGCACCCCAAGTTTGTTTAACATGCATGTGCCGATTTCCCCTTACGAGGCAACCTTGCGCTGTCATTGGAGGTTCCCGCGGAGTGTAAAAATGGGGGAGCCCGCACTTGGTGAGTTGGATGTTCCCGCCCCGTCATGGATAGACAGTGATGACAATGTGTATCATTTTCCTAAAGGAATAACAAACAGCCTACGGAGTACAACAGTCCGAACTATGGCCTGTTGATTGGATGCCGTCATGTGGTGTTTGCAGACGCTGTGCGTTGGCTGACTTGGTCATGCTGCATGATTCCGCATGATTCCCCTCGCGACGAGAGGATGAAAATGGTTCTTTCGCTGCTGGATGCAACACACCATGGCGCACCTTGACATGGCCTTGCAATACGGAGTACTTTACGGCTGTTCCCGCCAACTTGGACCTGGGGAGCTAAATTGCCGAAACACTGGCCCCTGTCAGGCCTCGCAGGTACGGTCGAGTGCCGTACAATCGTGAGTTCCGGCCCATCACGGCATACCACGCCAAGGACACCGCCCACGCCTCGCGTGCATCCAGTTCTCTTAGCATCTTTTGCGTTGACGCTACACCCAGGCATTTAGTATATTTCTGTGTGTTTTGACTCTCCGCGCTCGTCTCCGCCTTCCTGCATTCCACCCCCTTCGCTTCCGCCCCCGTCTGCTAGTCTCCCTCAACGTACAAGACCTATCCCTGCCCCGCCAAGAAGACCGATTGTGCTTGGATCGTGGGGAGACGACACTAACATGCGGGTTACGGGTAGTGCAACTCGTTCAAAGGAAAGGGCGAAAAAAAATACAAATACATGGACGGTCTTGCGCCGCCTACCCGGTCTTTTTTTCTCATCAGCGACGCGTGAAGCGGGAGCATGACTGAGTTTCAAGCCGCCGCGCATCTGAATTTCCGTCATTCGCTTCCTGCACCTACCTAACATTCCGTCATCTTGGGCTTGTGCAGACGAGGCCTGTCGAGACTCGACATGGTTCGCTTGCGACGCCTGGCGCTCGCCGCGGTGCTATCGCTGCCAATCGCAGACGCAGCAGCAGCAACAACAACAAGCGGCATCTCCGAATTGGCAGATCGGCTATTCAATGGACAGGGAAGCGCGTTTGAGTTTGTCCTCACCACTCGCCCCGAGGACTGGTCGCGTTGGAACCCGCCCGTCAACGACAACTACACGGTTCAGGGTGCCCGTGGAAAGATTCGCGTCGAGGGAACGTCGCTGAATGCGCTGGCCAGGGGGTGAGTGTTTTGCGTGTGAATTCCTGGCATGTTTTGCCATTATGGAACGGCGCCTGATCCGACTGTCCGTGTCTTCTTTGTTGTGTACGTTTTTTGCTGACAACCATTTATACAGCCTGCGACACTATGCCAATGACGTCTTGCAAATGGACGAGTTTTGGTTCGTCCATACGTACAAGACGGCTCCCCAGCGTCTGCCTGCCCCGAAAGAACCCTTGTCCGGGGCCAGTGTTGTGCCATGGAGATATAATCTCAACACGGGTGAGTTGCCAAAATTTCTGGGATTTTCAATGGGCGGGAAAGAAACACCCACTAACCAGCATAAAACAAAAAGTCACCTTCTCCTACACTTTCCCCTGGTATCAGTGGGAGGACTGGGAGAAGCTCCTCGACTGGGCGGCCCTGCGCGGCGTTAACCTCCAGCTCGCCTGGGTCGGCTACGAGAAGATCTTCCTCGATAGCTTGCGAGAACTAGGTCTCTCTAACGAGGACATCTTGCCCTTCTTCAGCGGACCGGCGTTTCAGGCGTGGAATCGGTTCGGCAACATTCAGCGTTCCTGGGGTGGCAAGGGAGACTTGCCGCTGGCTTTTATCGAGCAGCAGTTCGAGCTGCAGAAGCAGATTGTCACGCGCATGGTAGAGCTCGGCATTACGCCTGTGCTGCCCGCATTTCCCGGCTTCGTGCCGGAGAGCATCAAAAAGGTCCGGCCCAACGCGAATCTCACCGTGTCGCCCAACTGGTTCGCCCCGGCCCCGGACAAGTACACGAGGGACCTGTTCCTCGATCCCCTGGACGACACGTACGCGGAGCTGCAGAAGCTGTTCGTCTCCAAGCAAATCGACGCCTTTGGCAACGTCACCAACGTTTACACCCTCGACCAGTTCAACGAGCTGTCCCCCGCGTCCAGGGACACGGCCTACCTCCGGGGCATCGCGCGCAACACCTACGCCGGGCTCACGGCCGCCAACCCTGCTGCAGTGTGGCTTCTTCAAGGATGGCTGTTCTTCTCGAGCCGCAACTTCTGGACGCAGCCTCGCATCGACGCCTACCTGGGCGGTGTCGAGGACGACCAGGGCATGCTGGTTCTCGACCTATACTCCGAGGTGAATCCGCAGTGGCAGCGCACAAACAGCTACTCTGGGAAGCCGTGGATTTGGTGCCAATTGCACGACTTTGGGGGGAACATGGCCCTTGAGGGCCGCGTCCAAACGCTGACGTCGGCGCCGATCGACGCGCTCGCGCAGTCAAAGTCCCTTGTGGGATTCGGCCTGACGCCCGAGGCGTACGAGGGCAACGAGGTCGTCTACGACATCCTCCTGGACCAGGCCTGGTCCGCGACGCCGCTCGACACGCAAGCGTACTTTGCGTCGTGGGTGACGAAGCGCTACGCAGGCATCTCCAGCATCCCCTCGGAGCTGTATCGGGCATGGGAGATCCTCCGCACCGACGTCTACAGCAACACCCGCACCGACATCCCGCAGGTCCCCGTCGCGACGTACCAGCTCCGGCCGGCGCTGTCCGGCATCGCCAACCGGACCGGCCACTTCCCCCATCCCACGGCGCTGCACTACGACCCCCTCGTCCTCCAGGGGGCGTGGAAGCTCATGCTGGAGGCTTTGACGCGGCAGGGCTCGCTGTGGAAGGTTCCCGCGTTCCAGCTGGACTTTGTCGACGTCTCGAGGCAGATGCTTAGCAACCAGTTCGACGTGCTCTACGCTGACCTCGTCAATGCCTACAAGTGCAGCACCGGCGCCGGCGGGGGCCGTGAACTGCGTTCCAACACGCCAAGCTGCGACGTCAAGGCCGCCGGCGCCAGGCTCCTCTCCCTCTTGTCCACGCTCGACCTCACCCTCCTCACCAGCCGGCACTTTGCGCTGCAGAGCTGGGTGGACGCCGCCAGCGCCTGGGGCAAGGCCGCGGTCAACGAGGACCTCTTCACATTCAACGCCCGCAGCCAGGTCACGGTGTGGCAGGTCAACGCGACAAATCTCAACGACTACGCCGCCAAGGCCTGGGGCGGTCTTGTGGGATCGTACTACAAGGGCCGCTGGTCCATCTTTGTTGACGCGCTCGTCGCGGCGAGCAAGTCCGGGTCCTTGGACGAGGGTGCCTTGGCACGGAAATTGCAGGTCTTTGAGGCAGAGTGGCAGGCTGGCGAGCAGGCGGTCGAGCAGGCGACGCCGCAGGATTTCAGGGCCGTGCTGGCCGGTCTGCAGGGCAGTTGGCCCGAGTTGTTTCTCAAAGTGCAGTAAGGTGTAATGATGTGATGATTGGACTATATGAGGTAATTGGCTGCACTGCATGGCCAGCGTTGTGGAATAACATGCATGTTGATGAGTCTCTTCCAGTTTCGTTTCGTATCTCGATACATACAATATATATACCCTGTTGCCGGCTCCAGGACTGGCTTTATGAAAGTTTTTCGACCCGTCACTCTTGTAACTTGTCTTACACGGTCAGTCACTAACATTAGTGTCCGTGTAAGCGGGAACGAAGCATCAGAAAGTATCCATGGTACGGGTGGGCCAACGATGTAGACGACGACAAGGTAAATTCAACACTTGGCAGCGTCGAGGGTTGGATGCCCAAATGCAGCAAAAAGTGCCATCACCAACCTAGCGTCTTACCCGTTTGCACTCTATTATAACCAGCGAATGGCGCTCGTCCGAATAGCCGCATTGATGACAATTACCCAGCAACGCAGTGGCCCGCCACGGCCACACAGGCGACATGCAGAGCGGCCAGCCCCCCGAATGCGGTAATCCAGACGGCATTCACGGCAGACGCTCTGCACGATGACACATCCAACGCACATGGATCTTGGCGCACGAAGCCGCACGCTATTTCCATCTCGGCGGCTCTACGACAAACTCCGAGCCTGGACATGTTGATGAAGCACGCGCGGGGTTTTTTTTTTTTTTTAAACGCGCTTAGCTCCGGCTCCTGGGGCTGAGGAAGCAGCCACAAACCGGTGCGGCATTATTTTCACAGGGCTTGTCATTGGGCTCATGGCGGAGATGGAGCCCGCGTGATATTGGTGCTGCTTTAACCCGGGACGGCGAGACGCCACTCGATGAACCTTTGGTCGAGGATGCCGTTTTATACGGTGTGAGAAGGGACGCGTATTATGTTATTTGACTTGCCTTTGGGTACCGTTATGGAATGAAGATTGGCAGTGGCTTTGAATGGGGGCTTGATATACACTAGAGTCGTGGTTCGACGCTTTCCAACATCCGGTAACGGTTGTCATTAGCACATACATTTTCGCTATTTCGATTATACGATGAACCTGGCGTTTCTTTTGCAGTGTCGAGTGCAGGAATCCAAGGGGGTTAATACAGCCACGGCCTGGCAGTTTCGAAGAGAAAGTTTATTATTAACGCTACTTTACAATTTCTTACCGAGGCCCACGGGGCTTATTATAAACACTATTATACAATTTCTGGTACCAAGCACCACGAGCTTATTATCAACACTGTTATACAATTTCTGGTATCGAGCACCAAGCACAAAGCACCAAGCACGACAAGCTGCTTCACGCCGCGGCGCTATTACTGGAGCCGAGCCGCCTCACCAGATACAACGCCAGCCCCCAGTTCGGCTGCAAGTAAACGCCGACTCTGCACACGACGAGAAGCGCCAGCGCCCACACGACGCTCCCCATCCACGAAGGCCGCACCCACGACGGCACCCAGGACCAGCTGGCCGGAGCTTGCAGCGCCGCCCTCGCAACGTTCTTGTTGTACCGCAGCCGGTTGTGCGGATCAAACGCCTCCTTGAGCGCACAGATGCGCGCCCACTTCTCCCGGGAGCCGTACAGATTCCGCAGCCACTCGGGCCCCCGGTCGCAAGACAGGTTCACGTAGCCGTTGCGCAGGGAAAGCGGCGTCATGGCCGCCATGACGCCGTCGACCCAGCGCACAAACTCGGCGTCCTTGCCCGGCGTGTCCCACATGCCCAGCACCTCCCACATCCAGTTGGCCCCGCGGCGCGAGTAGGCCGTCGAGTCCTCGGGGAAGTCGAGGTTGGCGCCGCCGAGGCACGGGAGGGCGATGGCGACGCTGGGCCCGGGGCTCGTCGGGGCCGGCGCCGCCCTGACCGCGTCCACAACGACGGCGGCCACCTCGGCCGTGATCCCGGCCAGGTA